GGCGGCTGCAGGAGCCTCGCCCACCGGGGCGAGTGACCGCGGCCAGGACCCTGGACCAACACAGCCCTGCGGGCCAGCGGGCACCGCTACCCACAAGCCTCTGCGTGGCCCGGGACTACAGTACCCACAATGCTCGGCGGCGGCCCGGCCCGGGTCTGCGCGCGCAGAGCCCTCGCGCACGCCGCAGTGCGCACGCGGTCGCCGTCCCGCCGCTGGCCTCTGCTGGCTCCCAGCCGCCTTCGGGATTGTTCGCCTGGACTTGTGCTACGTCATTTTGCTAGCGTGTCTTTAAACTTTGGTTATTAAAAAAAATAAATAAAATAAAAAATAAACTTTGGTTATTTTCTCTTTTGCTATGCAAAACAGTTTTTAGATAGTTTAATGTGCCTCTTTTTTTTGCGTTTGGAATCATAGTTGGGAAGTTTTTCTTCATTGTCCAGAGATTTCTGTGGCTTTATTTTTCACATTAGAGCTCTCAGTTGATTCATTTTGATCTCTCAGCATTTTTGTTTAGAGTGCGAATACAGATTTGATTTTAACTTTCCCCATATTTCTACCAGTTTCTCAATTTATTTAAAGGTCTTTTAACAACTAATTTAAGTTGCCAGCTTTATAACACTGTACTTCATTCACAGTTGCATTCAGGTCAATTTCGAGATTGTTTTTCTTCTGAATTAATTTTACTCTCATCAGGCATTCACGCCACAATCTTTGAAAATTACGGAGGGTTTAAACGATGCTGTTATCTTTAAAGGCTAGCCAAGTCACACTGGCTTTACATTTAGGGTTTTACAAGCTTTAGCTACTGTTTTTGTTTTTCTACATGGACCTTATTTATTATCGCTAATTAATATTATTAATAATAAAGGCTCATGTGCAAAAATAATTGAGAACCTCTATAATTAACCTGTCTGGTTCAAAAAATTTATATCTATTAGAACTTTTGTTGGAATCACTTTTTAAATTACTAAACTAATTTGTTTAAATTATTAAACTATTTATGAAAAGAGGGTTTTGAAACAATTTCAATCAACATTTGAAACAATACTGATAGTTTTTGTTTTTTTAAGGCAGATTTTGCTACAGGGCATGTATGCTCGCCTGAGAGACAGAGATAGTCAGAAAGCAAGAAATCACCCCCTGGGGGGACGGCCATGCTGCAATACCTTCCCCTCCATTCTCCTCTCAGGATCTCAGGCACACACACACATGCACCCCGCATGAGTTGTAAGTCGCTGGGTCCGAGACTCGAACTGCGGTCAACTACTGGGAGTCCAGTGGTGGTCCACCTGGTGGTCCCAATACTGATAGCTTTAAGCAAGAATATTGTGGCTTTTCAGTGAGAGTGCACCAAACAATGTCAAATTCTTGAGAGGAAATCTGAAAATGTTATCACTGAGTTGTTCCCCAATGTTTGGAATTTTGTAAAAATAACATGAAGATCATGACTGATTTTTAAAACTGCCTGTGCCTAGAACAGAACATGACCCATGGAGAAGTTCTGTAAAGAGACATTGAAGACATGTTTTACAGTTTTTTTTCTCTAGGCACAGGCTCTAATGGAAATCACTGGAGGAAAATTTGTAAAGAAATCAAGTCAGAATCAGTCTCACACTGAGTTCTATGCAAAAGATGGAGCCCAATGACTGTGGATACAGCCAAGAGCTGGACTGATTTACAGGCTGACTTGAATGGGAGCATTCTGTGTTCTACTAGAATTGGATAGAACTACAGTCTTCTCACGTCTTAGCCTGGAAGCCAGGGCATGAATCTGGCCTTTTTACACCCCGGCTCTCCCCAGGGCCAGTACATACATTGCCTCCTCTAGGAAGCCTTCCCTGATTGTCAGTGTTCTTTGTTCCCATATCCACGCCATCCTTTAGCCCAATAATAGACATTTTCAATATACTTACCCAGATTTGAAATTATCTTGTTTTTGTTTTTGCTATCAGGCATGTGTGCTCACCACAGACAAAGAGAAAGTGAGAAATCCTCCACCTGCTTCCCCTGGGGATGGCCATGCCGCAATCCCTTGTCTGTTTTCCTCATGGGATTTTGGGCATGCACACAGGCCCGGTGTGTCTTCAGGTCACCAGTTCAGAACTTGAACTGTGCAATTAGCTGCGTGGGATCCAGCTGCCTTAACCTCCACACCACCTGCTGGCCCTGAAGTGATATTTTTTCCCCACTGTTAATATCTTTTTGCCTTGGATATGGAGGTGGGAGAGGGGCCCTGCAGCAGCCCACAGTCCTGGGTTGGGCTGCATCACTGGCTGCACATCCTGAAATGTATCCAAATCCCCCTCTGGAGGGAGGCCCTGCTAAGGATATCTTGGGACCCACACCAAGGGCAAGGCCAGCCTGTGGAAAGTCTAGCCTGTGAGAAGGCCTCGGCATCAGAGCCCCAGCTGAGCAAGACTGCAGGTCTCCCTCTGAGGAGGGGCTTGCCAGTCAGTGGGGATGCGGGGATGCTGTGGGAGCTGTTCCCCGTGTAGTCTGGCCACTGGACATGGGTCCTGTTCTTTTTCCCTAGGAATCCCAGACTAGCCAGGGGTGTCTGAGGCACCCTCCAGAGCGCTTCCCTTTCCCTGCACTGGGCACCAGCGTAAGCTGGACAAGGAGCCCCGGGGAATGTCTCGACCTGGCTGCCGGGTCTGTGGGACTCAGTGGTCTGTGATGAATAGACCTTCAGAAGTTTCTCCTTCACACTCAGGCAGATGGAATGTGCCCTGCTCAGCCATGGACATCCTTGCTGGCTGGTCCACCGAGTGGGGTCAGCCAAGGGATGGGTCGTGGCACCAGAGAGAGTCAGGATGGGGCCCAGGGGTCAGAAAGACCTCGGAGGCTGCGATTGGCTGAAGCGGATGTGAAGTCCTGAGGTCACTGACTCCCAGCCAGGGGAGGAACTGCAGCTGGCTGCAGAGCCACTGCTGGAGACAGCGCTCAGTGTCCTACCATAGTGCTTGTCATCACGGCCTGGAAAATGTTTCTAGGTCCCCTGTGCTGGTGGCTATCAGATCAGGCTGCAAAAGTTCCCTGAGAGCCCCTGAGTCTGGCCACAGTTCCTCCTCGCCTTGGCCTGCACTACTGTGAGCATTCACAAGTCGTCCTCCAGGGGGCAGCAAAGGCCTGGAGGCCAGAGAGGCTTGGGCACGAGGCCTGGGCTGGCTGTGATCCTTCAA